GAAATAAAACTAAACTATAATGAAAATCCAAAACTATTATAACCTTGCAACAACGTTCAGAAATAATCTCTTTATTTCCTCTGTGCTCTGTTAAATAATATTCAGSCAACAGTGTTGTCAACATAAAGACGTAAAGATGAAGCAGAGTATTTCTCTTCTTCATGCTTGTTTATTGTCACAGTAACACTGTTGCCCTGATTTCTGCAATAACCCGATCCCATCTGTCTCATTTCAAAATGGCACCCTCAAAAAATCCCAACAGCTGAGAGATTACCTGTATAAATAAAGAAATACAATGAAACTGCTGTTAACACCTTGTCTTCTTTATGTTCACCTCAGGAGGAAACCCCTCTGTTCCTCGCTGCCAGGGAAGGAAGCTATGAGACTGCCAAGGTCTTATTGGACCACTTTGCTAACAGGGAAATAACCGACCACATGGAYCGACTGCCTAGAGACATTGCACAGGAGAGAATGCATCATGACATTGTGCGGCTGATGGACGAGTACAACCTGGTACGAAGTCCCCCCATGCACGGAGGGTCTCTGAGCACTACATTGTCACCCCCTCTCTGCTCACCCAGTGGCTTCCTGGGCAGCATGAAGCAGCCTCCAAGTCAAGGCCAGGGCAAGAAGGCCCGCAAACCTAGCGCCAAGGGGATCGGCTGCAAAGACARCAAAGACATGAAGGTGAAGAAGAAGAACTCTCAGGACGGGAAGGCTGGGAATCTCCTGGACAGCTCTGCGGTTCTGTCGCCGGTAGACTCGCTAGAGTCTCCGCACGGTTACGTTTCCGATGTGGCTTCACCGCCCATGATGACCTCGCCCTTCCAGCAGTCACCTTCGGTGTCTCTCAACCACCTGCAGGGCATGTCCGACCCACACATGGCCGTGAACCACATGGTGATGTCAAACAAGCAGGAGCTGGCTCGAATGCAGTTTGACCCCCTGCCTCCTCGTCTCACCCACCTGCCCGTGTCCGGCTCTGCTGGTCAGGGGGCYATGAATGGCCAGTGCGACTGGCTGTCCAGGATGCACGGCAGCATGAGCCAGCCAGCTCAGTTCAACGCCATGAGAAGCACTCCTGGCAGTAAAGGAGGTCTGCACCAAAGTGGCGGACAGCACGGGTTGATCACGACCTCTCTGCACCCCAACTCCAGCCTGTCTCAGATGATGACCTACCCGGGGCTGCAGAGCACCCGACTGGGCCCTCAGACCCACATGATGCAGCAGCAGGCTCAGCAGCTGCAGCAGATGCAAAACCTCCAGCAGCTCCAGAAGCAGCAGCAGCAGAGYATCCAGCTGCAGCACCAGAACACGAACCCAACCAACAGCCAGAACTTCATCAGYGGGGAGCTCGGTTCTCCAGAGCTCCAGCAGGGCACCGGCAGCTCCAGCATGCCGATCCGTACGATTTTACCACAGGAGACCCAGATTATGCCCTCCACCATCAGCCAGTCAATGCCCAGCACCCAGTTCCTCACCCCGCCCTCCCAGCACTCCCAGCACAACTATTCAGGCCCGATGGACAACACCCCGAACCATCAGGTCCAAGTGCCCGACCACCCCTTTCTGACCCCGTCTCCTGGCTCCCCCGACCAGTGGTCCAGTTCGTCTCCTCATTCCAACATGTCCGACTGGTCCGARGGCATTTCGAGTCCACCGACAAGCATGCAGTCTCAGATCGGACACATATCAGAACAGTTCAAATAAAACGCTGTGTTTTCACATCCAGATGAGCTGCTGTATATATCTATTTTTTTATAAAATGTTTGTTCTTTGAAAAAGTAAAGAARGCGAGCAGAGCTGTAAACAAGAATAGACTTTTATAATCTTTTATACTAACAACGTATGTGCTTCATTCATTCTTTTTATTTATTAATGTCTGTTTATTTATGTGCATCGCTTGCTTGTCGACATGGTTTCAGTTCAGACGCAGGACAGAGGAAGTCCACTAAAGAAACCCTTTTTCTTYGTAGAACTTTGGCAGCATACACACTGGGTATTTATTTCCCTGAKGACATTTTATTTTTCTCTTTCTGTTTATATTTTTGTATAACCTTGTTTATATATTTTTTTTCTTAAAAAGGCCACATTGTTAAGTTTCAGTGTTACGTGGGAAAACATCAGCTGATGACAAACATGCTGTGAATGTTAACAGAATGTGTAAGTTATAGGAATTGCTCTTTTAAATAGCAAGTCATTCTTTGAAACACTCTCTAGAGTTGTATAAAATTATTCAATCAGTGAAGCAGCATTTAGCTGTCTTTTTGGGATTGCATTCGTGCGTTGAGTTGTGAAGGGATCRTGATATGTTGTTCGTCGTATGGCCATCTTGGAGATTGGCAGTTTAAGGCAGGCTTGAGTTTTTGTTAGTCCTGTGGTGTTGGAGACCTGGCCCGTTGGCCACAGTGTTTGTTTGTTGTACAGAGAGAACAGGAAACTTTGGATTCCTTCTCCCTCCGATGAGTTTGAGCCTATGGCTGTGTTCTTCCTTTTGTAAATATGCTTTGCATTTCCTTTGTAAGCAAGATTTTGTTTAAGAAATCTTATGTCTTCAGCATGTGTTGAGTAGGTCTTGCACCAGCCTCAAAATGTAAAACAAAAACAGATTATATATATTTTGTATCTTTTGGGCGTTGAGGAATTAATAAATTTGAAGTGTACACAAATAGATTCAATATATTATTGGGTTACAGTTTGGTATATTAAAAAAACACGTAAATTTCAAGGTTTTATAAATTCATATTTATTTGCAAAAACAAAAACTTATCGAGGCAACCCTTTGTGTGTGTTAAAAATTTGTTTTGTTTAAATAAAAACTGTTGGCTAAGTTCCCAGTTGTGAGATGCACTCTGTTTTGATTTTTCAATATTATGTTTAAATAAATACAAACTTGTTAGGTTGTAGTGACAGTTTTTGCAATATGTTCTTTCAATAAATGTATTTTCTTTTTTTAATTCTGTAAAAAAGTTTCTTGCTATAATAAAGAACACTTGTGTGTCTTAAATTTGAGAGAACTGATTTTTTAATTATAACACACTGAACCTGCCTTCTATAATTCATCTTAGTTTGTCTCCATCTAGTGGTGTAAAATGATAAAAATCATGTATCATAACACAATCACATTGGTTTCTGTAACAATTCTTAATTACAAACAGRGTTGTAAAGTAACTAAGTACAAATACTTTGTTACTGTACTTAAGTAGAATTTTTGGGTATCTGTACTTTACTTGAGTAATTATTTTTCAGCATAGTTTTTACTTTTACTCATTACATTTTTACACAATTATCTGTACTTTCTACTCAATACATTTTTTAAAAAGGTAAGAAGTAGAAAGTCGTCACTCTTATTTTATTCCGAGTTATTACTTAAAAAATACTATCCTGATAAGTTGTGTCTCCTGGATAGAGTGAATTTAATTGTGTTTTGATGAGAAATACCATTCTGACACCATATTAGCTTGTACACAACCCATCACAGCTGCACGCTGTTAGAAAAAAATTTTTTTTTTGAGAAGTCACCTCCCAATAAATGTCATTTTGGAAAATCTAACTGCTCACTTTTACTCAGTACTTTTAATACTTAAGTAGATTTTGTGTCAGAAATTTACTTTTGATATTTAAGTACAAAAAATATCAGATACTTTAAGACTTTTACTCAAGTAATATTTTTAGAGAAGACTTTAACTTTTACCAAAGTATTTTTATGATAAGATACTTGTACTTTTACTCAAGTATCATTTTGAGGTACTTTATACAACACTGATTACAAACATTTTTATTCAGTGCGATGCAAACTTGAATGATTTTCTGAAATTGGCTGAAGATGCAGAAACTTGAGTTGGTAAATTTAAAACAAGAGCAACAGCTAAAAGTGACAAAAAGTAGCTAAAAGAATGAGGTATAATGTTTCAATAGTCAAAGAGAACGTTGTTTTTGAAGGATTTGAAGAGTATTTATATAAGGAATTTTGTTGTAAATRAAGTCTAATGTTTTTGAAAGCATTAACGCAACACAAAAGTTGCCTCACTCATCTCCCAAAGCAATGAGCTTTTAAAAATGAGCACAACAACAGTACAAATGATGAATCAGCCTTCTTTAACTCGTTTGGCCGGTTTAGAAGCGCTGTAGTTCCAAACAGAGCAGAAACAACTCCAACTCCCACAATGCCCCGCGCGCGGTAGTTCAGAGTTCAAAACACTGCGGTAAAAGATAGGATATTCACTGGTTGCCCTGTGTGCTAAACGGCAAAACCAAACAAGTTAAGGAGCAGAGAACGCGTTACTCGGTCGCCACCCACCGCATCGACAGCCGGCCCGGGAACCCGAAAATGGCCCTCAGCTAATCGSTGCCTTTTCTTTCTCTCCCTTGCCGGAACCACAAACGACGGTTACCTGGCGGTGCTAACGTTAGCACGCTAGCTCGCCCAGTCGAGCACATAGCGACCGCCGCTCGCCCGCTAACGTCACCGGACCGGTACTGTCGACACAGACTGCAGCTATGTTCGTGCAGGAGGAGAAAATATTTGCCGGCAAAGTGTTAAAGATACACGTCTGCACCGTGGACGGCGCGGAGTGGCTGGAGGAGGTCACGGAAGACACCACTGTTGAGAAACTGAAGGAGAGGTGCTTGAAACATGTAGGTTGTTGTTTGTGACTTTTTACATTATTTTTGTCCCGTCCTGTCACTCGCGTACCTGAGGCGTTTGCTGCCTGTCATGTCCTCTGTTTAAACTGTCGCTGGCTTCGTATTTATAGTAACTGGGTAGAATTTGCTATTTATAATTTAGCAGGTTGGCTGCCCCTCTCCAGCTACAGCAAGCCGACAGASTCAGGCTCTTTGCTTGTCAGAGAGGCATACTGCGTCTTCTTTCTATTATTATACAGCTCTCCTCCTCTCTCCTTCTATGGCCTTCAGTGGGAACCCAAGTTGGTCCTTCGTGCTCCATGACTGCAGGGGAGATTTTATAGATGTGCAGCTTTGTCTTGAGAAAGACAGTCGCTTCTGCTTCTCATAGTTACCTGACTAATATTTCCAAACCATCATTTAATTGATCATAATTTGCTTAGAATAAAGTCAGAGCAATAATAAATACGTTTTTGTTTGGTTTGACATGATTAGCATTACTTCTGAAAGTGATCTCACTAATTTTAGTCTATTTTTTAATAGTTGCTTTGTTCCTTTTACTCTAGTCCAGAGGAGCTCAACGTGGGGCCCGCGGGCCAATTTTGGCCTGCCAAGCCATTTGGTTTGGCCCACCAGCAGTTGTCCTGGCTACTAGGATGTATTCACCTGTTTAATGTAGAAACACTATTTCCACTTAGTCATTCCAACCATTGTCCACCTATATAGCTATATATATAGCTGTAGTGCTGACAGTCTTAACTTACTTTATTATATTAAAATTAAACATACAAGTAACTACAAGAGACATTTAGATCAGATTTAAGCACATATCTAGATTTGCATACTAAGACCACAAATACACAAATTTTAATTTATGAAAATCCTCACGAGCCTTTGGTATTCGAGTGTACGTCAAATTTTCTGCATGTCCATTGGCTAACAAAAAAGTAACAAACAAAATAATATGGGCCACCATATTGACTGCTATCTTAATCATGACAAATAAAACAACTTTACTTAAAAAGTATTTGCATTTCATCTATTATATTATTGCATTTGTCCCGCAGCCTTCAGATCATTTTACATTTTGGCCCTCCCAGGGAAAATGTTTGGGCACCCCTGCTCTAGTCTTTTCTGCAGAACAGTTGAGTTCACAAATCTTCAGAGCTCGGCGCATTATTATTTAATCTAGAGCAGATTCAGGTTACAGTTGTGTAATGAATAGTGTTGAAACATAGAGGCGTYGACTTGTAATTAGAGAGCTGTTTGATAAACTTTAAACAAAATTACTGTCATTTATTTAAATTTGTAGTAGTTTTAAGTTTAGTGGGGGTGGGGTATCCTTGAGCTGCAGGAATAAGCAGATCCAGAAAAAGGAATGGACGAATCAGTCAGGGAAAATGTGAAAACAGTTGGGGGCTTGTCAGTATAGAAAAACAAGGACATGTAGGTAAAACGATAGCGATGGATCTTTACAGCATCTTCTCAACCTAAAGTTCAAAACTAGGAACGTTATAAAACACCAATGTGTCCTATAGGAAAAATACAGTTGAAAGAACAGTAAAAAAAGAGTAATGCAATTTAACTTCCTGCAGAAATTGTTCAAAGTTACTCATATTTTTTACAATTAAATCCCAGACACTAAATAGGACTTCATTTATGTTAACAGCTGTGATTTTTGTTAAACGTCACCATGTTCAGTGTGAATAACTTCACAGTAAAATTGACAGTGTGCTCTTTAAAGCTGTGTAATATTCAATGTAATAAATCAATTATAAAGCACAAAACTATATAATTAAGAACATGTTTAGCGTAAATCTGACTTTAGTAAACAGAATTCCTTTAGTACATTTTTTGTAGTCTCAATACAAACAATGTACATTTTGAGTTATAACGAATTTTACATTTTCTGGACTAAAAAACATTAATTAATATCAAATTGTTTTATCTTTGCTTTTAACTATTTTCTGTTTGAGCTGCGTTGAACATTTTGTGTTTATTTTGCAGTGTGCACATGGAAACCTAGAAGACCCCAAAACACTTAGTCACCATAAACTTATACATGCTGCTACAGAAAGAGTCCTCACAGACACTAAAACTGTTGCTGATGAAAATCTCAAAGATAAAGGTTTGTATTCCACTATTTAAATATGTTCTGTATCTTCTTGTCATTATTATAAAACTCTATATTTATTAGTCCTGGTTTCTGTGTTTTTATAGATGTTTTGCTGCTTATAAAGAAAAGGCCGCCGCCAACTGCTCCAAAGATGGCAGACGTTAGTTCAGATGAAAAGGTAACCTTTGTGCGATGAAATAAAAACATAAAAGTGGAGACAAAAAAAAAGAAAACCTTACTTGTTGTTTTACCTCCTGTTTTACTTCTTTACTGTCGTAAAAGAAGAAACAAGACAACAAAGCTCCGGACAAAGACGCAATCCTGAAAGCTACTGCCAGCCTGTCTACGCGTCACACAGACCGCACCGTGACACAACACAACATCAGAGATGTGAGGATGTCAGACACATGTAGMCATAATTGTTACACAAACAGAACCAGTTTTTTTTTACATCTTTGTGTTTTTACAGTTTCAAACAGAACTGAGGAAAATCCTGGTTTCTCTTATTGAAGTTGCCCAGAAGCTTCTTGCCTTGAACCCTGATGCTGTTGAACTCTTCAAAAAGGCAAACGGTAACATCCCTTTAAAAATAGATATATTTATTTAGTGGAATACAGTATACTTTCATGCACATGTTTTTGTAGAGTTAAAGACTTAAAATAAAACCCTTAACACCAAGCCGCTGGCTGTTTAAGACTTGAAGCTCAAACTCAGTTAAACCTGAGCTGTGTGCAGTTGAGCTGAAGTGTAATTTGAGACACTYGATGATAGAAATAAAAACAACATAATCAGATACAAGTAGGTCAGGATGCCGCTGGTGTCAGCAGAGATTTGAACACACACAGTAAACTGTTTTGTTTTAATARTTTTCTTAAAGAAGCGTGTCCTCGACTTTAACTTAAACTGCTACCTCCCTTTAGGAAAATCATCTTTTCTTTCAAAGGTTTTGATTGATAACATCAATCAGTCAATCAATCAATAAGTTTATTCACTCAATTCAACAACATGTTTCATAAGTGTGAACAGAAAACATAATAAATTATATGTGTGTTTTTTGCTTTACAAACTTGGAGAAACTACCTAAAACTTGAACCAGCTATTGAATTTTATTGACAAATCGATGATGGAGTGCTTTTTGTTTAAAAAGTTGCTTTAAGGTCTTTGTAAAAACATTTTTATTTATAGTCCTGATCATATTGTTGTGTTTGTAACACTGCCAAGCCTTTGTTAAATTTTTATTTTATTAATTTTTTCTTTTCAAAGCCATGTTGGATGAAGACGAGGAGGATCGTGTGGATGAAACGGCCCTCCAGCAGCTAACTGAGATGGGTTTCCCTGAAAGCAGAGCCATGAAAGCTCTTAGACTCAACCAGTAAGTTTGTCTTATTCTGTTTGTTTTAAGTTAATCAGAATTACCCTAAATGACTTGCTAAACCTATGAGAGACTTTCACTTTAGCAGTGTCAGATGAGTTTGTCCTGCTCTTTTTTTACTTCTTATTTTTGAGTGAATCTGTTTGATGCACTTGACTTATTTTTCCACGTCTGATCTTGCAGCATGTCAGTAACACAAGCAATGGAGTGGCTGATTGAACACGTAGACGACCCCTCTGTAGACACACCTCTGCCAGGACAGGACTCTTCAGKGGCAGCAGGAGCTGCAGCAGCGACCACACCAGGGCCTTCAGCCTCGGCCTCAGCTTCAGCCTCCGGTTCCAAYGTGTCCCGCAACGTCTCCAGGCAGTCGAGCTCGGACGAGAGCAGCAGGCAGGATGAACTCACAGAGATCTTCAAGAGAATCCGAAGGAAAAGGGAGTTCAGACCTGATTCGAGGGTAGGTGGTTTTATTTTGTCCTTAGATTTTTAAACTAATCTTAAACAACTTCTTTACTCTGTATTATTCCACCATGTTTAAAACAKCAGTGTTTTTGAGATGCTCACTGTGCTCCATGGAAGCCTTCAAGAATCTTTGTTTCTGTAGGCTGTCATTGCATTGATGGAGATGGGCTTTGATGAAAAAGAAGTGRTTGATGCGCTGAGAGTCAATAATAACCAACAGGATGCAGCGGTAGGTGGATAAATACGCAGTAGTGTTTTTACAGCATGTAAGTGTCRTCATACTAGTTTACCATAAGACAAGAACCTCAGATTTTACTTACATTCACATGTAAAATCATCTTGTTGAGGTTTTTATTTTTTGACATGTAGCAAAGTTATGGTTACCAAACCATAATGAWAACTGTTCACATGACAGATCATTTAAGTGAAGTGCATTGTGTTGTTCATACAGCAGAGCTATTCAACTAGATTTGCTCYGGGGGCCACAGTTACTGCAGGCCAACAGCTCAGGGGCCGAACATCCAACAATTAGACATTATGTAAATAAACCAAGTAATACAAAGATCTGTTACCTTGAAAATAGTTTTATTTTTGCTGCATTTAATCATGAATACAACATGTGTATTTTTTACTCATTTAACACAAATAATATTTTGACTTCTCTGACTTGCCAAAATTTTAAACCAATTTTATTTTCACTTTCATAGTTTTATCTTCAACTGCTTGTAGTTTTATGTCTTGGATGTTCATAGAAGTGGTTTGTACCAGCTTCTAGCCAAGATTCTGACATTTCTGTAGACACCACACGTCTATGTCTAACTAAAGTAACATTAATTAAAGTAGATAGTAGTTGTAGTTTGGGATCATGAGATGAACAAACCAATTGGCGGTCCGAACCTTGGTCACTCGGGGGCTGGATGTGGCCCATGGGCCACCAGTTGAATAGCCCTGTCATACAGAATGAACTGTACAAATGAACTTTGACTTGAATAGTCAGTAATGGCAGTCACCTGACAGCCTGCATGTTGGTAGGTAACCTGTCCTGTTAATTTTATGTACATATTTTCAAATTAGACACAACGGTGCAAWTTTTTATTTAGAATTGTCTTCTTGTTGAGACTACAGCCCCAGTAATACCTCATAAGATTTTCATTGAACTTGACTTTTTTAGTGTAGTGCCTTTTGCTCTGTTAACTAAATCAAACACTAAATAAACAATTGGAACTGAATTTAAAAAAACACATCAAACTGAGCATCACTCAAGTGATGTGATTAAAAACCTTTTGCCTTTACATTCTGCAGTGCGAGTGGCTGCTGGGAGACAGGAAACCATCTCCAGAAGATCTGGATAAAGGCATCGACACCAACAGCCCTTTGTTTCAAGCCATCCTAGAAAACCCTGTGGTCCAGCTGGGCTTAACCAACCCCAAGACTTTACTAGGTATAATTTCATCTGTTGTAGTCAAAAAGCCAGTACAGGTGGTGATTCTGCACTTTTACAGAAACATTGTTTCAAATTACAGCGGGTAAAATAAGTATTGAACACGTCACCATATTTCTCAGTAAATATGTTACTAGAGG